GCCACAGGCGAGGCTGGCGCTAGCCCCGCCTTCAAGGCGGAACCGGATAGGCCGGATCTCTGGCAGGAGGAGGCGGGGAAAACGTAGGGCTCGCACATGCGCACTGCAGTGGGTCACGCCCACCCAGGAGGGGAGCGGGAGCCGGGAGGCGCGGGGCGGGCTTTGCGGGTGGAGGGCGCGGCGGGAGCAGGAGCTCGCTCGCTGCCTGGAGCCTTTTGGGCCAGAAAACTGGAGCCTCTGTGTGCCCTGATGTGAGGCGCGCAGAGATGACATAGTGAGAACCATTTTGGAAATCTGTGTTTTTTTTGTTCCATTGCTTTTTTAAAATCTCACTTTTGGTTCCATGGCTAAGAAGGCCTATTAAAAAGGTAAGAAAAAAGGAAAAAGAAAAGGTAAGAAAGAAAAATCAAACGTCAGTAAAACCGTTGATAACTATCAATAGGAATCCCTCCGTTGGATCAATGAAATAGTAGGTAGTAAGTTGTTTATTGTTTTAAAAGTGTTTAAAATAATAGCAACAGAGGCACTTTAAAATGGAGTTTGAGCTGCCATCCCCAGGACAACGGGCCTCGCAGATCTTACTCCTCAAACTTTTGGAATTTGTTAAAATGGCCTTTGGACTGGGCCCAAAACAGCATTGCATCCAAACAATAGTTTGCAAAGATAACAATAAAACCAGGCTAAAAATTAAACACGTGAATTAGCATCACTTGTTAGCTAATCTGCACTTACAGAAACTCCTATTCATGTAATTGATTCCCTTCCTTTCCTCATAAATACCCCTGACAATAAAGATACCCACTAGAAGGGCACCTGGCAGCCAAATGGACTCAAATTTTTAAAAATAGAGCTTTGCCCTGGCCCCCGTGGCTCAGTGGTTGGAGCCTTGTCTTGTGCACCAAGGGGTCATGGGTTCAATTTCTGATCAGGTGGCAGGGTCCGTCCCTTGTTGAGGGGTGGGCATGAGGCAGCCGATTGATCTCTCCAATAACCCATACCTTAGCTGAACTTTCCTTGGTTAGTTTTGTATTTAGCACTGGATATGTAGCTTCTGTATCTAAGAAGAAGTCGATTCGTTAGTTCCCTACTGTCAATGGTACCCGGGGCTCCTGTGTTGTTTTTGCCCCCACAAACCAGCATCCTTCATTGCCTGGGGGCCATATTGAGCAGAACAGAGACGGGAGTTTTATGTTAAAAGGGAAGTGAAAATAATTACACCAAAATTGGTTTTAGTGTTGTGGCAAAAGTAGGATTCCCCAGTTCCTTGTAGAGAAGGTCGGATTCTCCATTCGGCTCAGAATTCCTCACTTAAGTCTCATAGCTTCTCAATGAAGCCATTTCTAGGATGCTTTAATAGAATTTTTTTTATCCGCTTTTTGTACTTTTAACCGTCTCTTAGAGAAGAGATTAAACGGAAATTGTGGAGAAGTACAGAGGCAGAAACAGCCTCCCGGAGGGTGCTTCTCAGCAGTCAAGCAGGCAGCCGGCCCAGAGCCTTTTCAGGGTAATATCTGAGAGAAATGAGAGTCATCTATTTGGAAGAAACAGTAAACAAGTTGCAAATTTACCAGAATTTTATGAGCCTACTGCTCTGCAGAGGAATGGAAACACATGAATCCAGACTAGCTATAAACTGAAAATGCAATCAACAGATTAGGATGATAATACCTTTCTCTTTGGTTTCCTTAGCTGAGTAATAGGGCAAAATGCCATTTTAAGGCATCATCACAAATGACTGGTTGCTTATATTTAGGAGGATGAGATGTTTTCCTAAGCATACATTTAGAATTATGATAAGTCACATTGTTGCCATTGTTACAGGGAGGCTTAACGTACCATCTTTGGGGCTTATCCATATTAAATAATAAATGTATTAAACATCATTTTCCAAGGTAAAATATGTGCTCTGGTATACATGATTTCACACCTGAGAGAGAAAGTTGTTTTTTAATTGAAATTATTTTAAATTTAAAAGTTTCAAGGTTTAAAGGGCTTTTCTAGTTTTATGATAATTTATACTACTGGTGTTTATATATTCTTTTTAAGATGATTCAGTGCTTTCCCTCAGTGTGACTGTCATTGGCCTTCCTGATTTGGGCCTGTGGGCTTAATTCAAAGTATCTAAACCTGATCTGTTAATGCTCTTCTAACTGTTAATTGTATGATTGATTTTTTTTTTGTTTATTTTGCTTGAAGGTTATTCATACTTTTTAATTGGCTAGAAATAAAGTTTTTCCTGCTTATAAAAATAAATTCATAAAATTATTTAAGTAAATGAAAGACAAGGTCAGAGGTGAATAGATTATAAAAAAATTTTTGCTATGAAGAGTATAAACATAAAAGGAACAAAACAGTGTACCACAGAAAAACAGTTTATTAGAAAACCCAGAAAAGGAGATTTTAAAATAGGATCTTTGTTTCAATTAAGAAATAATGGTTAATACATAATATCTAGTTGTACTTAAATGCAATAAAAAATTAGCTCAAAATAATGCTAAGAGATTGTATTGAAATGGTTCAGATGTGGGTATTGGATTCACCTAGCCTTATCTCTAACAGGAAACGTGAAGTGCCCAGAAACAATTAGAAAAAATATGTCAATAAAAAATGAAAACCCCACGTAGCTGGTGTGGTTCAGTAGTTGAGTGTCAGCCTATGCACTATGTGGTACATGTGTCGACACTCAACCACTGAGCCACATTAGCCAAGCTATGTTACATATTTTTATAGAATTATACAAGTTGCACATTGTTGTGTGTGTGTGTGTATGTGTGTGTGTGTGTGTGTGTGTGTATGTATGAGGATTCAATGAGGTTAGCAGAAATTATGTTACCATTTTATATATGGTGTCAAAATGCCTCAAAATAGTTGAGTCTTGTGTAAGTTACGCACCAGGAAGTCACAGTTCTATTCCCTGTCAGGGCATAAGCCCAAGTTTCAGGCTCAATTTCCACTAGGGGGCAAGCAGGAGGCAGCCAATCAGTGATTCTCTCTCATCATTGATGTTTCTATTTCTCTCTCCCTCTCCCTTCCTCTCTGAAATCAATAAAAATATATTTTAAAGAACACCAATTTGCCTATCCAGTCTTGAAATTGAGGTGTAGAAGCAGTGGCCACGTGTTTAGTAAATGGGAACATGGGCCCTTTCCCATGCTCCAACTCTCCCTCCCACCCGTGGGAAATATAATGAAGGCCATCAGTTACACTGTGCGACCTTGGGAGTCTAGTCAGCTCCCAAGTCAGGAAAACAGCCAGCAGTTTTGATCTTACATAGCTTTCTTGAAAGCACTCCCCCCTTCCCTGTACGGCCCGTTTTTCTCTGTTTTCTGTACTCTATAAAATCTTGTGATGGGAAAGTATGGGTCAGGGCAAAACAATGGCACTGGCCAGCGTCCTCCGTGTGGCCAGTGAGCAGGCCGGATGGGACTTAGCAGTTCACCTTCACTAGTGGCAGCATGTGTGGCGGAAACTTACCCACCTGGCTTCCATGGGGTCTTCCCATGTGTAAGTGATAAAGGCTATGTCCTTCCCCTCTGGTCCCTGTCCCTGATTTTTTAGGACTATCAAAGAACAGCATGGTGCTCCCAGGAATGGAGCTCTTATGTTATACCAAGGAATAATCCATAGGATATGTGTGTGTGTGTGTGTGTGTGTGTGTGTGTGTTCTGGGGTTTTATAAAAATTGATTTTAAAGAGAGAGAAAGGGATAGGGAAATAGAAACATCAGTGACAAGAGAGAATCATTGATCAGCTGCCTCCTGCATGCCCCCTACTGGGGATTGAGCCTGCAACCTGGGCATGTGTCCTGACCTGGTTCATGGATTGACACTCAACCACTGAGCCACATCAGCCAGGCTATGTTACATATTTTTATAGAATTATACAAGTTTTTATGCACATTGTTGTGTGTGTGTATGAGGATTCAATGAGGTTAGCAGAAATTATGTTACCATTTTATATAGGTGTCAAAATGCCTCAAAATAGTTGAGTCTTGTGTAAGTTATACAGCCAGTATCAGTTTCATATGCAATATCATGACTCTAGATCATATTGTATGGAGGTTTTGCTTTGCATTTCAAATTCTCTCCTTCTAAGGACTTAAATTTGTGCTCAAAATGTTTCACAAGAGATTGAATGTCCTGCTTTAGGATCCCAGTGGCCACCCAACAGTACTAAATTTTCTTGTGAATATAATTGTGTTGATGTTTTACATTCACATTTTACTATGGTAACATTTTTAAAACAATAGTAATTTAACATGAAAATAAAAATTTACATTTAAGTTTTTATCCTCATTAATGAACTTCAAAAACTCTTCTCCAAGAGTGATATTTCTTCAAATATTTCTTTAATTCATCTCAGTTTATCTGCTCCCTAGTTCTGAGGTACTTTGTTTATATTCTTTTGTAGTATCAGTTGTTAAGTTGCCTTTAATTTTTATCATCTTAGTTCTCATAACTAAGATGAGGAAAATAAGGAGTGGACTTTGCTTTTTCAAAAAAAAAAAGACAGCAAACTAGATTATCTTCCTGGGAATGACAGTTCAAATTAATCAACTCTTTTTTTTTTCCTTACTGAGAGAGAGAGAGAGAGAGAGAGAGAGAGAGAGAGAGAGAATATGAATGAATGAATGAATGAATGAGGGGAAAGATTGAGAGAGAGACAGCTGAAGTCAGCCAGTGCTCAGGAAGAGAGGGTATGTTTCTCAAGCTCTGAAGAATCAAGTGCCTATGCGTTTAATTAGCAACATCTTGGTACTCTGTGCCTCATTTATATTCTCTTATTTGGTATGTTACATTTCTGCCATTATCCTTGTGAAAGGAATTTTAGAGACAAAACAGGCAGGCTTAGGGAATAAAGAGGGCCCATGGGAGAGGAATGCATATGTGAAGGACAGCGGTATCTCTGGCCCGAGCAATTAAAGCAACTATAAGGTAAATCAAAAGCAGTCCTGACCTGAGCAGCTTGGAGAGCGATAAGGGGAAATAAAACATCTCCAGCTAGGACAACTGAGAGAGAGCCATAAGGGAGGAAATCAAAAGCAACTCCAACCTGAACAGAGAAGATGGATATGTAAAGGCTAGAGAAAGACATACATTCACGGAGGATAAAAAAAAAAAAGTCACGGGATATGGGGAAGAAGGAAGCATTTTCACAGGGGACAGAGGAATGTTGCACGATAAGGGGGAGAGGATAAGGGGCGAGGCACCACGTGGGCTTTGAGCTTTGAAGCAGAATGACCAGTGAGGAAAGCATGGGGGTCCTAAATTGAGGAAGGGTCCAATTAGAAAGTGTCAGGGTCAGACAAACAGCATATAGAAACTGGAGACAGATTTGTAGATCTTAGATTTTTTTTTTTTTTTGATTTTTTTTTTTTTGAGAGAGAGAGAGAGAGAGAGAGAGAGAGAGAGAGAACAGGCTTTCCCCCTGCCCAGATGGAGTTTGTATATGCTTCCAATAAACTTCTACATGTTTTATTAAAGAAGCCTTTACCAGTACTCCACGAATTTATGGTTCATCTTTGTTGGACAAGAACCTGCGAGAAGAAAAGTCTGCACCCTGAGCCCCACGTTTCACTTGCTTCTACATTGCAGGAGAAAATAATTTAAACAACCAGTTCAGTCAACTGGAGTAAGCAAAGCATGAAATCCTGGCGGGAGAAAGCCTCTATACTCCAGTCCAGGGAGGGTGGCACCAGAGGAGCCCCCACACAAAGGGTTGCTTTCAGTCCTCCAACAGACACCCTGCACTCTGGGAAACTTATCTGTACAGATGACAAGCCCTTGTCTATGCAGCTGCAAGAAGCGTGCGTGTGTCTACATTTCTCCAAGGGAAAAGGGAAACTTCCTTTGCCAGGATCCAGAGCAATCGGTCTATTTTCGCAGAGCAAAACACAAGCCTTCCAAATGAGCCTCAAGTCACAGATTCTAGGTTTGTGCATCCCGCCGAGGTCGGATGCCTTAATCAGACATGGTTGGGGAGACTCCCTCACACCTTCCCACGGTGCTTCTGTTCCAAAGGCCTGCGGGAGGACGTGGACAGGGCTGCTTCCCACGGCGGGCACGGCGGCGTGGCAGCCCCACGCGGCGTTCGCGGCTCCTGTGGGTCCGGCTGCTTGCTTACTGTGGTGATGTCTCAGTTCCTTTATGAACTTTCCAAAGGTCAGCCAGACTCTGGGTTGCCAACCTATTTCCCTTCCAGAGAGTAGCTTCCGGTTCTGAGGTCCTGTAGATGCCACTTCCCTCTCTATTTAAGCAAAGGACAGAAAGTAGGTTGCCCCCCCCCGCGGGCACCCCTAGTCATTCCTTCCCGAATTCCCTCACCAGTCTACCTTAGTCCTCGTAGACATGGTTTGATCAGTTTCCCCACAGTTTCAGCGTTGTGTATCTCTATTCCAAAATCCCACCCCACCGGCGCCTGCACCCTTTGCCAAGTGTGGGTGGCGGGGCCCCGGGTGACTGCCCTCGGGACCACCCACGCACTTCCTTCTGCTCGGCTGTTCGCAGCAGGTGCAGCGGGCGGGAGTGGGGGTCTGCGCAGG